ACAACAGAACCATGACCTTTGCACGCTGCAATCAACAGCGGCGTCGCTCCGTCCTACCGCGCGCGTGTCGACGCCGCATCAAATCAAGGATGCATACATGCATGGGCGCCTCGACGGCCGCCTTGGCCTCGAGAAGCGCCTCGACGATGTCGTCCGGTCCGTTCTGCGCGACCAAAAAAGGGGGGTCACGCCATTCTAGTCCAGTCGTTGCGATCGATCTTGGGCACGAAGCGCAGACGTACGTCCATGGCGAGGCTCACGTCGGCGCCGGCTGCCAAGAGCGTGACCACAATGGCCGAGTGGCCATTCTGTGCAGCGATAGCGAGGGGTGTTGCCCGTCCTGTAAGACCATGCATTTAGAGAAACGTGTGTGCATTTTGACATGTACCTCCATGGGCTGGTTAACTGATGCGTGCGCGGCCAAGAGGCTGGCGACGACGTCGGCATGGCCTTCTTGCGCCGCAAGGAAGAGCGCTGTCGCCCCCGTCTACGCACAAATATCGCGAAACATAAATGCGCATTCTGCGGCGTACGTTGTCTGCAAGATCCACAGCGGCGTTGGCGGCCAAGAGCAACATCACGACAGGATGGTGGCCGCTCTGCGCGGCCATGATCAACGCCGTAAAGCCATCCTACCAGCACACGGATGACATGGGCCATGGATGACAAGGTTCGTACGTTGTTTGCGTGGTCGACGGCCGCGTCAGCCGCAAGCAGCGCCGCCACAGCCTCGTCGTTGCCCATGATGGAGGCCGCAACCAGCGGCGTTGCGCCGTCCTATGCACACGTTAGCTCGAGAGTCGACGACACTGATCAAGTGTACCTCGTCGGTCCACGTGACGTCGGCGCCTTGGTCGAGCAGCGCCATGACATCATCGACGCAGCCATCAAGCGCCGCTTCAAACAATTGAGCGTCCTACGAAGCACATGCATCCATGCGTTGGTCGCCGTCATGGACTCTACCACCGTCGTTGGCTCGGCTATCGTTGTTGCTCGCGACTGACACATCGGAAATGCTTGAGACTGCCGTTCACAAATATTTGGAAATCATCCGGATACATGTCACGAATTTGGGCCGGGCCATTTTTTGCCACGACAAAAAATCGTCGTCGCAAATTTTGCGGCACCGGCGCAAATTTGTGACTGGCGGGCCGGCCTACAGTAGTCGGAGCGGGACGTTCTCGGGGTGCTCCTCGCACAACGTTGGTGGTCACCGCCAGCAGACGTTCTCGGGGTGCTCCTCGCACAACGTTGGTGGTCACCGCCAGCAGAACTCCCGTGTATGGTTTTAGTGGACGTGGCTTGAGCCCGGAGCTTGCCGCTAAGCTTGGCCATCCGGCTCATGGTTCGGGCTTTCGGAGCAGTTCACCAGTGAAGTAAAGTGGTCACTATAGACCGGACGGAATATACGGCATGGTGGGCTTACAGCAATGCAACGCGCCAGAGGCAGGCGGCGGCGGTGCCTCTTGCGGTCGCGCCGCTCTCTTTTAACTACTGTAACTTTTCGTAGACTCGTCGCGCAACATGTGTTGCGAACCAGCTGGTCGCTTTGTGAGCGTTTCATTCGTCGGTCCACACGCCTATTTTTTGTATCCAGCAATGTACTCAGCCGTCCGATTCAAAGCGACCGACTTGCTCACTTGCACTTTCGACCGACGCTTGAGATGGCATTTGTACGACGTCAACTCTGCAGGTGGCGGTTGCCATGTGCTTTGTCTCTAGATCTGTTTAATGCTGCGTTCTGCGGTGACATCGACGACGTCCAGCGCCTGCTCAAGGAAGGCGCCGACGTCAACTTTACCAACGAGGTGCGTTGGCCACGCTGGATGGCAAAACGATAAGTCATTTTGCGTAGGATGGTGCGACGCCGCTCTTTGTTGCTGCGCGGAACGGACACGGCGCTGTCGTCTTGACGCTTCTCGGCGCCAACGCCGCTGTGAACCAAGCTATAAACGTACGTTATCTTCTCTCGCAACTTGCGCTTTCAAACGTGTGGCCTCACATGTTGCTGCTGATGCAGGGTGGAGGAACGCCGCTGCTCGTTGCTGCATATAAAGGACAAGACGTCATCGTCAAGATGCTTCTTCGCGCTGACGCCGCCGTGAATCAAGCCATGAACGTACTTGTGTATCACTACTACAAAATACAAACTCGTATCGTGCCTAGGATGACGACAGTCCACTGTGTGCTGCGTCACGTCGTGGTCATCGCACAACGGTGCAAATTCTTCTGGACGCTGGGGCCGACGTCGACAAGTG